TAGGCTCATTTTTTATATAAGAAGTATCACTTTTATCTAGGAATTCTTGTTTATGTAAGACTTACTCAAATATGCAGTCAACTCCATTTGTGAGAGATATCGGGCAAGGTACACATTTTGCTCTTTATGTAAATAATGGTGGATTACTAATAATTTTCATATTACAGGCAATTTTGAGTTCGAAATTATTTCCTTCTAATTATTTTTTTCAAAATTTCAGCACGCTTTGATTTTAATTTTAATTCAGGCTTGTGGTTATGATGTTCTGTGTTGTCATTAATCATTCTTGACGTATACATCAAATGCCTATTCTCTTTTAAACTGTTGTTCTAGAAAGAGACGAAAATATAATTAGCAACAAAGGTATATGCATCCAGGCATTAAATTATGGGGGTCGTTCGAAATAATGGAAACGGGATGTTTCAAACCCAATTCAAAATTGATCAATTAAATAATTATTTAGTTTATCTTAAGCCCAATATCAGTCAATGGATAGTCAATTAAAAATAAGAAATAGAAAAAAGAAAAAATTGTATAAAAATAAATATAAACAAAAATAAAACATGCAACTAACAACAATGAATAATTTGGAGACAGATTACAGTAAGGTCAGTTGGGGTAAATGTGATAACGGGGCAAATGCAATAATTGGCATTTATTCTAACACAAGCGAAAATTTTAGACGTTAGAGTGGTTTTTATTACAGATAATATGTTTTCGAACGAACTCCCAATTTGGCGAATCGTTCCTGTCAGTTGTCAAAAATTTTCCGTTATTTTCCAAACAGCTGTTATTTTCGGTTACATGTCGAGTGCATCATTCAATTATTCGTGCTGTGGAGAGGGCAAGTAAAAATAAAGGTAAGCAACTGAATTTTTGGTTTTAGGGTGGATTGAGTATATATTTTGACTGTAGTATTTTACATTTTCGATATGTGTTTATGTTTTTTTTTAACAACCCTATGGTACACTTGCCCCCCTCAATTTGAATTGTGGGGCTAATGTGCTATACTACATTTACCCCACAGTCATCTGTATATCACACTTGCCCCATTTTGATTTCAGGAAAAATGGTGCGTGTCTACAAACGGAAAACTCAGCCCAACCAGAAATATGATGATGAAATCTTGCAACGGGCATTACAGGAGGTTCGAGCCAATCGAATGACTATGTACCGCGCTTCCGTAGTGTATAACATCCCCTATAGTACCCTCTATAGCCACAAAAAGGGTTTACGCGGAGTGAAAAGCTCCACCAAGGGTAGAATATGTGCACTTTCACTTGCAGAAGAAGAAAAGCTTGTCCTTGGCCTTACAACCCTCGAAAAATGGGGATTTGGGTTAACTCGGAAGGAGGTCCTAGAACTGGTCGCTGAATATGTGACCAAAAACAACATCCAAACCCCCTTCAAAAACAATGTTCCTGGACCAGATTGGTTCATAAATTTCAAGAGACGTCACAAGTTAAGTTTAAAGATTCCACAAGCAGTCGAGTTTGCTCGCAAGAAAGCAACAGATCCTTTCATCATATATAAATATTTTGATTTGCTAGAAACAGTACTCAAAGACCTGGACTTGGGCAACAAACCAAATCAAGTGTGGAACTTGGATGAAAGTTCTTTCTCCATTGATCCGTCCAAATGTAAAGTCGTGGGGTTAAAAGGAGTTGCTTGTTCTCGAACCGTTAGCTCTCCTGGCCGGGAGAACACCAGTGTCTTAATGTGCGCAAGTGCAGCTGGTAATAAAGCACCACCGTTAATCATCTTCAAAGGTCTTAATGTGTGGGATCAGTGGATGGCCCCTCAAGGAACAGGATTTCCTGGAACAGTCTACGCTGCTAGCAAAAAAGGCTGGATGGAATCAACGATATTTTTGAATTTTTTCAAGAAAACTTTAATACCCTGTTTTGGAGACGAGAGACCGGTGTTAGTTATTTATGATGGCCACAGCACACACCTAAGTCCCGAGATCATTGAGGCAGCCTTGGCAGAACGTGTGACAATTTTAAAATTGCCCCCTCATAGCAGCCATCTTCTTCAGCCTCTCGATCTGGCGGTTTTTAAAGCTTTAAAGTCAAGATGGGACGAGAAGTTGGTGAGATGGCAAAGACAGCATGTGGGGCAAAAACTTCCAAAGAAATTATTTGCGCAATATCTAGGCGAAACATGGCAATCGCTAGAAGGCACCATAATTCAAAATGGATTCAAAAAAGGCGGAATAGTACCTTTCAATCGAAATGTTATTCCTAGAGAGAAGTTCTGCCCAGAAGCTCTTAAAAGATGGGATCTCCATAATCGACGTGCGGATCCTCCAGAGCATATAACGGCGGACAGTTCCAATATTCCAGTGCATGTTGCGGCGGACAACCCGTACAAAGACCCCGTTGCTTCGACTGCAGCTATGCCCTCTGATAACCCGCTCTCATTTGAGTCGCTTCTGCTCTCCACTGTTAAGCAAAAAACACCTAATGAGAAGCTTCCAAGGAAAAAAGTTGCCGCTGGGGCTGAAATAATAACCAACGAAATTCTTCTTTTCAAGTCCCCTCCTGTGAAACGTTCAAATAAGAAAAAGGAAAAGGCTGATAGTTCCTCGGACGATGACGACCCAGAAGACTTCTCGGTCCAGGACTCCGACAGCGATAATGAATATTTAGATTCTTTACGAAATCCCTCTCCAGAACCTACGGATGTGATAGAGCAAGTTCCAGCGGTTGACAAATGGGTACTTGTTGAGTACGCCACAAAAAAAACCAAGAAACACTTTGTCGGCCAAATAACCGAAAAGGATGGGAGGGACTGGGTAATTAAGTTTTCGCGACCAAAAGGAACTAAGTTTATATCACCTCTAGTAGATGACATCGATACGGTTGAGGAAGAAAACATTATTAAAGTGCTTCCTGAACCTGTAATTGATCGAAGGGGCATAATTTCATTTAATATAACCTTTACAGGGTTCAACATTAAATAAAAGCTAAAAAAGTAACCATATTTAAGTTAGAAATAAGTTGAAATGCCTAAAAACGTTTATACTTAATGTAAGAGAATTCCTATTAAGTTTTTTACCTGTTCCTCGTAAACAATAATAAAAGTTTTATTTTCGTTTTTTCACTTCTTGGCGTATTATTTCAAAACCCTGAAGTTGAGGCCCCTATAGGAGCCGCACAAATAATCTATTTTATGTAAAAAAATCCGCTCTTTCACAATAACCCCATCCCAAAAGTATATAAACTGCCTATGAGAGAGCAGAGACCATTATCACATTTGCCCCAGTAGGAGGGGTAAGTGTGATATAACAACATAGTTTTAAAAAAAAATTGCGGGAAAATCAGAAAAGGACCCTATCAGAAAAAAAATACTCAGAAGTGTTGAATAACATCACGATACACTATGTAATTTTTTTTTTTAAATTTTTGATGTTTTTGGTTTTCAAAGTATCGGCCACTAAAGTGTCACTATGCGAATTCTATAACACATTTACCCCAACTGACCTTATTTATATAAAATTAAAACAACATACACTTACATGTTTTAAAAGCTTGAAATAACTATACATAAGGATCTTTGGTTCTCTTTTACTTTTTGGTCTGGTTATGTTTGTACAAACTTAGAATATAATTATATCCCTAATAACACCGATCTCCCAGAAACATCCTATTTAGGTACCATTAAGGTCCTTATGTTTCCGACATAAATGGTACATCGCTGCGATGTTTGTAATGTAACATCTCTAGGATGATTGTCCTGAAATGTTTTAGAAACATCCTTTCGAAAATATCTGTCGACAAAAAGATTTTTTGTTCTCAAAATTAGATACTTATTATAGCTAAAAAATGGCTAACATTATTTTACAAAACTAGGTAGGACCTCAGACCGGTAGGACCCAGTATTAAATTTGCCAATTTTGTGTGATTTCTGAAAATGTCTCTATCACCCGCTAAACATGAAACATTCTTGAAACATTTCATATTTGCAAAAATATTGCACAAATGTAACATAAAACAAATAAGTTTAAAAAATGTTTCTGAAACATTTAATTTTTTTTTTTTAATTCCATAAATAACACCTATACCAAAACCTACTGTTTTTATTAATACCCTAGTGGAATTTTCATTTATTAAAGTCAGTTTTTTTATTGAAGACAAAAGTTAAAATGACATTATGTTGGCAATACAATGTAAAACTGTCAACTCTCTCAAAATTTCAAATTTTTTACGTAAAAAAGGCTTGTGTTGCCAATATAGTTACTGAATTTATGATTTGTGAATTTGTTTTTAATAAAAAACAGACTTTAGGAATCGTGTAGGAGCATTCGTCACTAGGATTAGTCAGGAAAACACCGGTTTCGGTTAAAGAAGAAATAAGCCGTACTATCAAATCAAGCTGACTGCTGAAAAACTCAACTGGACTTCCTTTTTTTTGCTGGTGATTTTCTATCTAACTCAGTTTACATGCGATAGAAAAAGAAAGCAATAGTCCTAAACAAAAACGTGATGGAGTGAAAATTCTCATATTTGTGTCTGTCTCTGTCTGTTATTTGTGTAGTGTAGTGTTTCCATACTCCGTCAGCATACTGTCATATGTCATATCAATTGATATGTCATCGCGTCATTCGGGAAGTGGAGTGGAGTGGAGGTGTTATTGTCTTGTCCGTCCAAATTATTATAAATAAAACAAAAAAAAGTTATTATAATTAACCCGAAATGAGTGCTTCTGATGATAATGCTCCAAAAACATTGGTAAGTAATCTGATTTTTTTATTTTAATTGGTGAAATCCATTGAAAATTCTAAAAATTCTAAAGCTAACCTATAATTATTCTGGAACCAAACAAACTGAATTTCGCTCCAATTTTTGGGACTAAGCTAACGATTTTTTAATGTGCAATTCTTTCGCGCCAACTTTGCACTTGTGTTCTCTTTATTTCAATTCATCAGTCTAATTTTTGTAAGATTTTTACATTATTTTGAACCCAATTTTGAACAAATGGGACGCACAAAGAAAAAGATGGTGTCTAAAAGACATCTTCGGCGTTTGGTTAATATGGAAGTGGAAAAAGAATTAGCAAAATCCAGAAGTTCATTTTGTACCCGAAAAATAGCACCAGATGATTCTTGTGGTGAACCAATCAGTGAAGAACTGGATGGCCTGTGCAATCACATTGAGAATAAAACATATTTAGATACAAGAATCGAGGAATCTACCACTGCAACTACTGCAACTAGTTATCCCTGTATTTATCCCAACTATTATCTTTTGCCTGAGAGTGAGAGTATTCAAGAAAACCAAAATGATGCTGATACTGAATTTGTGAAATCTGTACGGGGCTGGTTTTTGAAGTACCGTGAACTTCTAAGCCAAAGTGCAATGAACGAACTGCTTTTAATTTTAAAACCCAAATGTAAAACTTTACCTAGTGATAGCAGAACATTTTTAAGTACTCCACAATCTTGTCAGTTTCCAATATCTGTTGTGTCCCCAGGAAAATATTGTCATTTTGGATTAAAATATATGTTACAGAATATATTAAATACCAAAAATCTGCTAGAGTTTTGCGAAGACGGAAAAACCCTTTCCTTATCGCTCAGCATTAATATTGACGGTTTACCACTGTCAAGGAGTTCAACAAGTCAGTTTTGGCCAATTTTGATAAGCATTGATAATGAAAATTTAGAATGTCCCAATCCATTTCCAATAGGAGTTTATCATGGTTTTAAAAAACCAGAGTCAGCTTTGAAGTACCTGCAGGAGTTTCAGATCGAATTCAAACAACTAGAAAACGGCTTTCGCTTCAAAAACATCGAAGTGAAAGTACAAATTTCAAAAATAATATGTGACGCACCAGCGAAGTCCTTTATTTTATGTGTGAAGGGTCATACTGGTTATTTTAGTTGTACAAAGTGTGTGCAAGAAGGTGAATATATAAATGGCAGAGTGACTTTTCCGGATCTATCAGCTGTCTTGCGTACAGATGACGACTTTAAAAATAAAACTTGTGAAGACTATCACAGAGGAAATAGTCCTTTTGATGAACTATCTGTGGGTTTAGTGTCTCAGGTGCCACTGGACTACATGCACTTAGTATGCCTAGGCGTTATGAAACGTCTGATTATTTTTTGGGTTAAGGGAAATAAAAGTGTCAGATTACCTGAACTAAAACTTAAAACTGTTGACGAAAATTTAATCACTTTAAAATCAAGTATTCCAAAGGAGTTTTGTAGGTTGCCAAGAGGTTTGCAAGAAGTTGATCATTTTAAAGCAACCGAATTCAGGCAAATTTTACTATATACAGGACCATTTGTTTTAAAAAATAATTTATCTAAAATTCAATACTCACATTTTATGTGTTTGCATGTTGCTATCAGAATTTTGTGTAGTGCAAATTTGTATATTACATATAATAATTATGCATCTCAACTATTGAAATATTTTATTGAAAAATTTGCAGTAATTTATGGTGCTGAGTATGTATCCCATAATGTGCATGGACTTTTACATCTACCTTCGGACTGCATTAAACATGGAGTCCTTGATAATTTTAGTTCATTTCGATTTGAAAACTATTTATATATCTTGAAAAAAATTATGAAAACATCTAAGCATCCCCTGCAGCAACTGTGCAATCGCTTGAAAGAAAAAGAATTAAATTTAATACCATTCAGTAAAAGATCAAATAAGCCCATTATACTTCACCAAGAAATTGCAATGTATTTGCCAGGCTATCCAAATTGCACTATTTTTAAAAGATTGCAAATTGGAAATTTTGAGCTTAGTTTGCATCCAAAAAATAATTGCGTTTTGTTGCATAATGAAACTTTCGTATTTATAGATAAAATCTACACAGATAATTCAACAAATGAAATATTTGTTTCAGGAACAAATGCACAAAATGTTAATTCATACTATGAAAGTCCATGCTCCTCCACAATTTTTAATATAAGCATAGTAACAAACATCTCAAAGAAACGTCAAAATTATAAAATATGTGAGATCAAAGGAAAATGTTTTCATTTCCAAACTGTGGATGGTATTGTAATTATTCCATTAATTCATTGTTAAATTTTTTAAGTTATTTTTTATATAATTTTAATTATTTTGTATCATTAATTTGTAATTTAATTTGGTATTTCTGTACTTCCGTTTGTTTGGACTAGTTAGTTATAGTAAAAAATGTAAATAGCCTAAGCAGTTTTTAAATTTAAGGAATGGTCTATTGTTAAATTTCTTTGTGATGACAAAATATCACATGTTCCATCAACATGGCTGTCCATCCACAATCTGAAGGAAAGCAACATTGCTCTTTGCTTCTGGCCTAGAAAAAATGCAGGCAAAAAAATTATTGGTCGATCGATTCCTGATTCTGAAAGTTGGGACAAACTGGAAGTGGTTATTCTAAAACAAACTGGTTAGTACTTTTGAGCCTCTACCTGTTTTCATTCATTAATTTTTTTTTTTTTTAGATTCATATTCAGAAGCAAGAGAATACATAAGACTAATGTCTGAAGGAGAAAGTGCACCAGAAACAAATAAGCCCTTGGGAAAGGGCCATAGGAAAGCCAAAAAACGTCCTTTTTTATTTAATGACTCTGATGATAGTGAGAGTGATGTAACAGGGGTAATTACACCGCCTCCAACTATAGAGTCCCCAAAAATTAGAAAAGTGAATAATTCTGAACCAAACAATAACAGTACCAATAAGAAAATAGAGTCGTTCTCCTCTCAAAAAGCAAATAAATCATTTGATTCCCAAACAAGTAGTAATTCAGTTTAAACAGGCATAATATACTTTATTAATTTTTCTCTTTCAGCAACAATCATTCGCACAGTTTCAACTGAAATGGCATCAAATGTTATTACTTCATTAACCTCAGTGAGTGCCATCAACAAGGGTAAGTTTTTTTTCCTGTTGTAGTCAAGGCTTTAATGAACATTTTTTTTCTAGAAAACAATAATAATCATAGCTTGGTTCCATCAGCTGCCCCGTCACATTGTAGTTGCAACTGCCAAGGTAAGTACTAAATGTAGGTTTATTGGAATTTACATTCCATTCTATTTCATGTATTTTCCAGAATCTCCATTAATTAAATCAATTTTAAGCAATACTGTTGCAATTAGAACAATGTTGGAGAGGCTAACTTCAGATGAAACAATGAGAAAAAATGATGACATAATTACCGATTTTGACTTGGTACCTAAGAAACCATTCTCAAAGTTCAAAAAGTTGAAAGAGTTTGATGAAAAACTAAAGACTGACAAAAGTGTAGAACGCCAGAATGTAAGTGTACTTAATTTGGATTAGTATATTTTACATTAATAATAAAAATGTATTCATTACCTTAGGAAACTGCCCTGTTCTTGCTTGGAGGGTCAAGTTACAAAGAATTAATAAGAAGAGGCCTAAAAAAAATATTCACGGACAAATTGGCTACAAAATGTAGCTGGACAGGCCGTAAAAATAATTTTCCTCTTCATAATTTGAAAATACTGGATGTTCTTAAAATAGCTACAAGAAAAAAATTTGGTAGTACTACGGATGCCGAATTTCAAGCAGAAGTGGGTTTGTGGTTCAGGCAAGGAAAGCTGAGATTTGAAAGATCGCTAGCAGCAGTAAACAAAGAAAACCAAAACCGGGTAAGGTTTTTTTTCATTTATACAAGGCGTGAACTCGTTCATTTATTTTTTATTAAGGTACACCGGGGTAAGTGGAAATATGGGGCAAGTGGAACCCAGGCCTATTCCGTGGAAGATATTTATTGTAAAGTGGCTCCCTCAGTGGCATACCGACCTATTTTATTTATGTTCCTTTATAGCTCTATGGTTTCTTATGCCGGCAGCCACAGTTTGGAATATTGTATGTTTATATCGCATAGCGAGCGAGCACGTGTTTGTTGCAGATGTAAATATTATTATTAAAAACGGAAGTTATATTAAAAGTTTCTGAAGTAAGTATCTTATAAACAATTATTCTTTGTATTTTAAACGTTTGAAAAACGTATATTTGTTTTACATTAAGAAACCTACTTGGGTTACACTTTCCCCGTGTAAAAGCAGAAAGGGGAAAATGTAACCTATGTTAGGATCCACTTACACCAGTTGAATCCGACTGATATGATAATGCAAATTTATTTTATTTGTTTTAGACATGGTGCGTAACTATGTTCGGAAAAAGCCGCCACCTAAATACTCCAAAGAGACCCTAAAAGTAGCCATAGAAGAAGTACAAAATCAAATAAATGACGGTGTATAAAGCATCAATAACCTATAAGATTCCGAAAGCCACACTTTTCAAGCATGTGAAAGGTCAAAGGGGTGTAAAAAGCTCCACCATGGGTAGACCCACTGCTATTCCTTATGAGGAAGAAAAGAAAATAGCCGAAAACATCAAGCTTATGGAAAAATGGGGTTTTGGACTTTCTAAAAAAGAAGTTTTGACTCTTATAGGCCGTTATGTGAAGGAAAACAATATTAAGACTTCATTCAAAGATGGAATACTAGCATGGGCGCCGGCAGCAGGGTGCAAGGGGGTGCACTTGCACCCCCCTGTCAGAAATACATCGAAAAAATTATTATTATTTTATTATTATTATTTTTTTAATAGTTACTGTTTGAAAAAAATTGACGAAACGAGAAACGATGGCCCCCTCGGACTCTTTGTTCCCCGCGACATTCCTTGGCTCACTTCCGGCTCGGATCGGGTTATTTTATTTTTATTTCGCGCCATCAATCTGTAGAATGGCGGGAATTTCGAATCTACTCAAATTCTAGTTTACCTGATTACCACCATTTCCAGGCCGAATTTTTATGTTCCTACTTTTTACGTGACACTCAAGGGCAGTGGCGCACCCAGGGGGAGCATCGGTCCAGGCCTCCCCCCCCCCTAGGCCACCTGTCCAAAATTGTATTTTTACGTACAAAAAAAAATTGACATCATGGCGTGGCACCCTGACACGTCAATTTTTTATTTAGATTTTTAGACACAAGTCACAACCTTTGTAGGCCCCTCATTCCCTATAATCATATTTTCTGGGTGCGCCACTGCGCAAGGGATAGGTTAGGCCTAGGGGCCCCCAATTATATTTAACCCCACTCGTCCCTAGATCCGCCACTGCTCGTGCTACTTTCCACCGAGGTGAAAACATCATATAATTTACTTAATCACCTAGAAAAATTGTTTTTTTGAAACCTCCCCGTTTTTGGGCGTGGTACCCGGAAAAATTTTCGCGCCTTCGGCAGCTCCTGCCACGGGCATTCACCTTTTCAAATTAGTAATTTGAATCAATATAACAATTCACGCGCCGCCACTGACCGTATGCACCTCCCTGAAACTAATCCTGGCGGCGCCCATGAATACCAGGCAACGACTATTTCATAAGATTTAAAAAAACTTTCAACCTTAGCCAGAAAAAACCACAAATGGTGGAAGTAGCAAGAAAAAGAAGTGTAGATCCATTTATTATCAATGATTACTTCACTCTGTTAAAAGATGTCATAAAACATATTCCTCCTTCAAGGATTTATAATATAGACGAAACAAGTTTTTGCCTAGATCCAAGCAGAATTAAAGTTGTTGGCCAGAAAGGGACAGCTGCTCATAGGGCAACAAGTGGTTCCGGAAGAGAAAACATATCTGTCTTATTAGGTGGAAACTCTGTTGGAGAAAAATTACCACCGCATATTGTTTTCAACGGGAAGAATGTGTGGGATTCATGGCTTGCAAAAAAGGACGAGGAATATGCAGGAATAACTTATTCGGCCACAAAAAATGGCTGGATGGAAGCAGAAACTTTTCAAAATTATTTCAAAAACAATTTTCTAAAAAGCATACCCAAAGATAGACCAGTTGTTGTTCTTATTTTCGATGGTTATAGTTCACATGTTGGCATTTCAATCATCCAAATGGCAAGACAAGAAAACATAGTCATTTTAAAGCTTCCTCCACACTCCAGCCACGTTCTTCAACCAATGGACCTCAGTGTGTTCCGGCCTCTAAAAATTAAATGGGAAGAAGAACTTGTAAAATGGCAAAGGCAGAACTATGGCAATAAACTTCCAAAATCCATTTTCGCAGCAATAAAGTCTAAAATTTGGGAAAACATAGATCCATTGTTCATCAAAAATGGATTTCAGAAAGCAGGAATTTTTCCATATTGCAACACTGTAATACCTATTGATAGTTACGAACCCCAAGCTTATAAACGGTGGTGCACTTTTCAAGAAAATCAAGCAGCAACACCTGTGGCACCTACAGCTGTGGAAACTATGGATGTGGCACCTACAACTGTGCAACTTACAGACTTGGCACCTACAATTGTGACAGCTACAGCTGTGGAGCCTACAGCTGTGGCACCTACAGCTGTGGCACCTACAGCTGTTGAAGTTACAGCTCTGGCACCTACACCTTCCACCACCATAAAAGAAATTCTACCTGCACCATCAACATCCAGGGTAAAAACATTCGAGGAGTTGCTTTTGGAACAAATAAAACAAACTCCAAAAGAGACGTCTGCTAGAAAAAAAATCTGCGGAGGTGCAGAAGTAATCACTTCAGAAGATGCCATAGCTAAGCTCAAGGAAATCCAAATCGAAAAGATAAAAAAAGTCAAAACAAAAAGCAAGAAAAAAATAAGTGAAGATAATATCAGCGAAGATGAGTTAGAAAAATTAGAGAAAATTGAACCGGTGAAAACAGGAAACAAAAAATCAAAGAATAAGACATTTTCAAATGAAGACAGTAGTAGTGATGATAGTTATGAAGATTTGCAGAGTCTTTCAAGCGATCCTAGTGTGGATGAAGTAGAAGAGATGAATGAAGAACTCAATTTCCTAAACCAAATGCAGTTAGACTTATCAAAAATAAATGTTGGTGATTGGATTGTTGTGAAATTCAATCAGAAGAAACTGGTCAAAATGTTCGTCAATTAACAGAGAAAGAACCGTGTCTAGAGGCAAAATTTTGTCGAAGATATGGTAAGACTTCCACATTTTATTGGCCTGTTGTCGAAGATAAAAGTATAATAGAGCAAGAAAATATTTTCATGCATTTACCATTAATAAGAGAGGAAAAATATCATTTAGCGTTGTATTTGACTCGTATAATGTTGGTTAAATGTTTATTTTCTTTTACAAAATAAATGTGTTTAGCAGCATACAAAAAGACTAATTATTTACACTTGCCCCTTTGAACTTTCGTATAATCCAAATGTAAAATTGAACCAAAGGTTACACCTGCCCCATACAAATGTAAAATTGAACCAAAGGTTACACTTGCCCCATACCCATGGGGCAAGTGTAACCTAAGTACCGCGAAAGAAAAAAAAATCGCAGTACAAAAATGGAGACAGGAATCTGGTTGTATGGTGGAAGATCCTTTAAATGACGTCTATTTAGTAAGCTGACACAATATGAACATGATTGCGTAAAAAGTTTTCTTGATAAATCATTTCAAAGAGGAGCTATTGAAAATCGCGGTTCCACTTACCCCGGTGTACCTTACATAAAACAATTGATCCTAGCACTAATTATATTTTTTCTTTCACTTTTAGGCTGCCACTGTGGAAGGAATGGAATAATAATAATTATTAGAAGATATTATAACAGATCTCTTCGAATAAAAACAGTATTTTATTTTTTACATGAAATTGTAGTATTATTTATTTTGCCTATTTATATTGTTTTGTAACGTACCTGAACTGTAATTTTGAAGCATTTCATAAACGTTAACTTGAAACGTTACATGAACATTTTTGAAAAGAAGTTTTGGTATGATTAATATGTAACGTTTCAAAATGTTTCCCTGCAATGTTACAATGAAACATTTCTGAGGTAGGACATTTTCAGTTACATATACATTTCTGACACATTTATGTGCAGTTTGATGAAACATTTCAAGCTTTAAATATACGTTTCTGATACATTTCAGAAACTGAAAAATGTTTAGTGGGCGCTAAACATGAAACATACTTGAAACGTTTCATATTTGCAGAAGTCATGCGATAATGCAATGTATAGCACAAATGTTTCAGAAATGTTTCAGAAACGTTTGTGAAAGCTTCCTTGGCTCCAGTGCCCAATCATTGGCGCAGGCGCCGCCGACTAGCAGCACCCGCGTCGAACTCAATGTAGATTTAAGACAGTGTTGCCGGATATAAATAATCTTCTGTAATTTGCGGAATGTTAACCTTAAACAAAGGCAACATTTTAAATACATAATAGAAATACTATATTTTCAAGACTGATGCACCTGTTGAAAAATTATGAATAATCGAAAATCACTTGATACAGGTGGATGTTCTAGCCAGCAAGCGGAATTTTTTAGTTTATTTCACGAATACGGTCGAACGTTTTGCTGGAACGCTATTGGCAACACTGCACAATAGGAGGCCATTTGCATTTTGCATTTGCCTTTGGGGGTTTTGTTAACACGCTGTTTGGCCCGTTTGTTTTTGTTTTTGTTTTCTCATTCTGTGATTGTGAATTTGCAATTATTTGTGACCAAAAAATGTCGGAGTGTGAAACAAGTGATGTGGATAATACCCAAAATACTACAGGGAATTTGGTAAGTACCAAAAGTATAAGTAAAGGCCTGTTTATAGTTCAAAGCTTTTTCCTTTTCCGTAGATTTATCGTTAACCGTTAGAGTTAAAAAGCGTGTAAAAGAATTTGAGTGTTTATACTATTTCCTTTTCCGTATACTTTTCCGTAGTGTTTAAACCGTATCCTTGAAAGTTAATTAATATTTAACTTCTACGGTTAAAGATAAAGAAATATCCGGATGCGCATGCGTAATTTGCAGGAAAATTTTTGGCATCCATGTTTTGATTTTTTTTCTACACCGAACAAGTTCTAGGTTATGTTATGGTTATAGGTTTTGTGGTTATAGTGGATTGTGGATTGTGGATTAATAAAAAAAATACAGTATTCCTAACAAAAATTTAAAAAAAAACCCTGAAACGTGCGTGATTTAACTCAATAGAATGGACCTCGGCAGTCTAATTGACGCGGTTAGGAGTTTTCCCCATTTATGGGATAAAAAACATCCAAAATACATGGATCAACTTGCGAATGAAAATGCCTGGGCAAGCATATCGGCGATTGCGGAGGTATCAAGTGAGTTTAAACATTTAATATATTTTCTAAATTCTTCTTCTATAAAAAAAATACTTATTTTAGTTGAAGACTGCAAACTTGCCTGGAAAAACGCCAGAGAGCGTTACGTAAAGGAGAGACGCCTTAGTACGAAAATTCCTT